CTTCCCAACCACACTCTATGCAATAGTCCATGCAATAACTGTCCTCACAAGCTATAGTACAGCTATAGCTACATAATAAATATATCTGTAGTGTAGCTTGCATCAGCAAGGCAGGAAACAAGAATCAAATGTAGTCTATTGTACAAAGAGCCAAGCAAGTTCTGAATGTAATCATCATTACAGGGTGGGACTGCAGGTGATCAGGACATTCAAAAAGCCCAAAAGAAAAAGCATTCTCTAATGGGACATTTATAAAAAAAAGAAGGCCTTCTTGACTCTTGGGTTTTTAATTAGACAAGAAAGTTGTTCAAGGAGACCTTTGCAAATGTTACTATGTGTTTCATGAAAGAGAATTCAAATAATGTTCTTTTGTAGTTGAAAATAAGTGTTTCCCAAAGTTTCCATTGATATTCTGTTAGAGTTGTTATGTGGAAGAAACAAAATTTATTTAACGGCTAGTTAAAGAACAAAACACATTTTGTTTCCACATTTTATGCCAGTGATTTTTTTCCTTTCAGTGAGTTCCATAAGGTCGCAAAATAGCCTCTCATCAATATTTATTGCTAGAGAAAGAACTTAAAAACATGGAATTACATCAAATCAAAAACTACTGCATATGTAGCAATGCTGCAAGGAAGGATATAAGAGCTATCTGGGTTTATCTCCATAATTATCCCTACTTTTCCACCTTCCATTTCTTCTATCTGTTGAAGTATATATGCATTTCATTTGTTACTAGTTTGGGATGGGCATCTTCTATATTGAATTCAATATTTTATTTATTTACTTTTAAGAATTAACTTGAATTTATCAAAAGGGACAGGTCACTTTCACCTAATATTAACGGGCGGAGGGGAAAAGGTCTACACAAATACCGGTAAGAATGTAAAATGGCACAACTATTTAGAGGGGGCGTTTAGGCAATCATGTTGGGGTCCAACCCCAGCAGGTCCAGGGGTTCCCAAAGGTGTGGACAGAGTTGGTGAAGAAGGAATGACACGGAGACAGTGTTCAGTTGATCAGCATAGCCAGGTTCTCTAGCCAGGTTCTCTAGCCAAGTTCTCCAACCAGGTTCTGTTCTTATTCTCCTGTTACATCTGTATTTATACCAATTGATTTTAATCCTATCCATTCTATTCCAAAGGTTAGGGTGTTTCTTATCTCCATTCCAAGGTCACTACTCTATTGTTCTGTTAAACTACAAGGCAGTAACTGAAGGAGATTATCCTAAGTAAAGATTATGTAGCTTAAGCATGATTGTTCATAGTTAGAGTGATTAATTAACCACCTGGCATTTAGTTAAGGGGTTTTATTCCCTTCCTTAGTCCTGTTAATCTCTAACTCCAGGGGAAAATCCCCACCTGGGGAAACAATCTTTCTTGGAGAGGTGACCTTGGTTAAAACACATAGCGCTAAGAAGGGGAGCAAACATGTTAAGAACAGTGTGCCATATATGCCAGGTCCCTTGAAACATATGCTGTGCAGATGTTTCTTCCCTGCAGCAACTACGTCAAGCAGCAAGGATAGACTGGCTTCAGGCAAATTCCCCCATTTTTATTTTTTAAATGGTAGCGCGTGTAAATCAGCGGCCACCTCTCGGATTGGGTTGTTTAAGACTCGGAAGAAGACTGACAAGCAATGATAGCGAGTATAGCAAGAAACATAATGGATGGAGTGCACATGGAGCCTTGTAGAAGGTTGCTGGCCTCTTCAATCTAGGATTTCAGCTGTCCCCAAGTCGGTGGTTTGGTTGTCCTTGTTGATCTGGCTAGCGGGTGGCGTTGCTGGCGATGGGCTTCCCGAAGTGTCAGCACGTTGAATGGCTGGATCAAAGGGTCCATCAGGGCAGCGCTTGATGGTGGTGGCAGTGTCCGGGGAGGAGTCAGCTGTGCCTTCTGGGTCAGCCAATATGTATGATACCGGGGAGGAGGAGGAGGAGGCAGAGACACAGGGCGGTGAGACATAAGGTCGGACTACTAGACAGTCTGGCATCCACATAGGTAAGTCTGTGTCCTGTGGAAATATACAAGCATATCCTCTCCCCCGGTTTAAAGTACGTCAGGTCCCTTCCAGGCTCCTGTAAGCAAGTCTCTCCATTTGACAAGGGCTTTAGGTTTAGTTAGATCAGGGTTCCAATGTCTGTACATTGGGGAATTTCCCTCAGCATCT